TTCCCCACATTAGGATTTTCTCCTGTGTCGTGGGTGCGTTTACAAACATACAATTTCACATGCACATCACACCCAGACCCGGAACAACAATCTGTGGATCACACAAAGAGTTGTTCCGTGCGGGAATTGAACCCGCGACACGTTGCGCGTCAGCCAGTTGCCCAGCCACCGCGCCAACCGTGCAGTCTATTTTGACAAACGATTTTACCAGTATGTGGGTATCAGTGTGGGAGAGCCATGCTTCGGCACGAATGCGTCGACTCGACCAGAGTGATACCACGACCTCACAGAAAACCAGCGTGTCATTACCACAGCGTTGTGTTTCCGGAGCCGACCGGACCGGACCGGTTACCGGAGGTCCTTCCCATTATTCTTCCCCTCTTCCAATCCCTAAATCTATGAAAAGTAGTAGTAACTTCCTATGGGTGGCACGATTGCTTACTATAACCAATGATGTATAAAACTATAGATACGTTGTCCGCGCTCTAAAATGACAACATGAAATGAAGGCAATTGACAACATCGCGCTTAGTTACGCACCAACCTGCCGCGCGACGATACGTTTGTTTTTAATTTATATCGTGTGTAAACCTGTGCGAAACACAAAGAAAGCATGTCGTCGTGTGTGTTCAGACGATGTACAAATTATACTCCAAAAGTTAAAGACAAAAATGTGTCATTTCAAGCGTAAGTTCACCAAACAACCTATTTTTATTTTATTTTTTTCGACGCCGGCGCCCGCCATCTTATGGCGGCCGACGCATGAAGGTATAGTCACGTGCCGTCGGCATAACTGAAGATGTATATTTATCTCCCTCTAGCAAAGGCATTCCACTATACGATGTCATATTTTCTTTCCCTTTCTTTACTCGTAGAAGTAGTTATCTAGTATTTTCGCCGTTTTTAAGCGCCGCGATGTTGGTTCATGACGTGTCTATATATAATACGTCATTGACTATAACCATATAAAAACATAACGGATATAATTCGTTATAACAACAATCTGTGGATCACACAAAGAGTTGTTTCGTGCGGGAATCGAACCCGCGACACGTTGCGCGGCAGCCAGTTGCCCAGCCACCGCGCCAACCGTGCAGTCAAGTGGAATGTTTTTATTTATAGCAATGGTCGGCAAACGATCTGACAGCTTACCTGATGGATGTAGCCTCCAGTCCGAGATTAGGTTGTTTTTGAAAGGGAAATCAACAAATCGGTGCTCCCGGCTTGAGCGATCTAGATGTAGTGAGAGCGAGTAAGGCGCCTCATTCAGCTAGGTATCATTAACCCGTTGAATGTCGGTTTATAAGACACAATAGAAAATACATTGTGTCTCGCGTGGATCCACGTTTGAAACATACGAAAGGTTAATGGGGAGAAAGCTTCCATTTTTCCTTCGCCAAGCACCGTGGTCCATCTAAGGGAAGTGAGAACTCGCCAACGCCACTGTACAACCATATGCTCCATCGTGCCCTCCAAGAAGTGTTCCTCGAAGAGTAGACCCAAGCTTTTCAACCCGCTGAATTTTATGTGATAGGTCGGCAAACGAGCAGAAGGATTACCTGATGGTAAGCAATCAGCACCGCCCATGGACATCCGCAACGGAGGAGTTACGAGTGCGTTGCCGACCTTTTAGGGGTTAGGGATTTGGAGATTTAGGGATTGAGGAGGGATTGGGGAGGGGAAGGATTGGGCCTCCGGTAACCTCACTCACACGGCGAAACACAACGCTGTGGTTGTTTCACGCCGGTTTACTGTGAGGCCGTGGTATCACTCCGGTCGAGCCGACCCATTTGTGCCGAAGCATGGCCCTCCCACACTTAAAAATATGCATATGAACCTTTCGAAAGTGGTATGTAACTAATATATCCATGCACGGTTCGGATCCTTCCATCTATCCTATTTTCTTTTAAGTATAGCTTTCTTCTACCTCAGCTGTCATGATCAAGTCTGAATCAAGATGGGATGAGAGAAGTCATTGACACCACCGTCTAACCACATGCTCCATCATGTCTTCCATGTAAGTGCTTCAGGCGGAAGGTGAGGACATCGTGGCGTCTCTCTAGCCACTCCACAATATGAATCCACTCCTCAAAGAGGGGACTTACCTCTACGATAACAGACGGCTGGTGTGACTCCGTTATATGCTAACATTGCCTATTTTAATGTTTTCCTAGTACATTGACATGAGGTCACGTGTGCTGTGCGTTTGTACGAAACTAAATTTCGCGTTTGAACAAGACTTTTATAACCACGTAGGCTACCTCTATGGGTTATATTGTGTAAATGTAATAGCGACTTAATTAAGAAAGGAATTAAGTACACTTTCAATTGAAAAGGTATCTATAGTATTATGATTAGTATTTTTTTCGCTAGTGTATAGTTCTGAGTTTTAGTGTCAAGTTACTCAAAGCAAGTTTAATGAGTACCAAGTCAGTATTTACAATTGGATATAAAACTTTAGTTAACACGTTACAATGTTTTTTTTTTATATCTGGTAGGTCGGCAAACGGATTACCTGATGGTAAGCAATCAGCGCCGTCCATGTACACCCGCAACGACGGAGGAGTTACGAGTGCCTTGTCGACCTTTTGGGTATAAATGATTTGGAGATTTTGAGAAAGGGAACGGATTGGGGTAGGGAAAGGATTGGGCTTCTGGTAACCTCACTCACACGGCGAAACACAACTCTGGTTATTTCACGCCGGATTTCTGTGAGGCCGTGGTATCACTCCGGTCGAGCCGACCCATTCGTGCCGAAGTATGGCTCTCCCACACTTGAAACTTATATTTATTAAATAATATTTTTAATATAACATAAATGGGCGCCCCTTAATTACGTGAGATGATTAAGGGAAGTAGGAGATTGAGTCAAATATTACGCATTTTTTTCTGATTGAATTTTAGTACATTTATACATAACTTATATATGCAACATTTTACTAGACTTAACTTAGTTGTAAAAATGCACGAAGTAAATTGTTTTTCTCTTTATCTTCTATACTAATATTATAAAGAGGTAAAATTTGTAAGTTTGTATGTAGGGGGTAATCTTTGGAACCGGTGGTCGGATTGCTAAAATTCTTTCACTGATAGATAGCTACAATGTTCCTGAGTGCTATAAAACATCACGCTACGATCAAAATAATGAAGTCGACCAGCGGGTGAAACCGAGCGGGAGTAGTTAGTTATACAATAAAATGCATCTCACAATTCTGCTCATGAAAAATAGTCCCGAGCGTGGATTGAAACCAATCGAGTTAGGTTGCTCGTCTTAAAGTTACTTAAAGCTATAAAACAAAAAGAACTTTCAATGATTTTTTAGACACCACTGACATACGGTGAAGGAAAACATCGTGAGGAAACCTGGACTTATAATTTCTAATTATAAGTTTGAAATCGCTAACCGGCCTTGAGTAAGCGTGGTGGTTAATGCTCAAACCTTCTCCGTGTGAGAAGAGGCCTTTGCTCAGCAGTGGGCACTTATGCGCTGATGATGATGATGATGATGTCCTATATATGTATTTATGTACATCCGGTGCTTGAGTAGAGGTGACAATTGACGCGAACACTAATTAAATAATAAAGAAAATAAACATCGCGATGACGCCAGCAGTTTCTGAGATGTGGCTGTGATAGACAAACAAACAGGTCGTTGAGTAGTCAGTCATGCGTGTTATTAGATATGATGGGTCGTTTTATAAAGTACTGGTTTCGATTCCCGAGTCAATAAGAGTAAATTAAAAAAAGGAGCTTTTATTCCTGGATGCAAAGGTATTTCTAGTGCAATAATTCGGCAAACGAGCAGACGGATTACCTGAAGGTAAGCAATCGGCAACGTCCATGGACACACCATCAGCAACACCAGTGAAGTTACGAGTGCGTTGCCGGCCTTTTGGAGATAAGGGTTTCGGAGATTTGGGGATTGGGGAAGGACGGGGATTGGAGCAGGATTGGGCCTCTGATAGCTTCACTCACACGGTGAAACAACGCTGTGGTTGTTTCACGCCGGTTTTCTGTGAGGCCGTGGTATCACTCCGGTCGAGTCGACCCATTCGTGCCGAAGCATAGCTCTCCCACACTTAAACAGGTAGATATCCGAATGTAATATAGTTAACACGAAACATTCGCCATTTAATGTTATTTTCAAATGCGTATGTTTGGAGCGCTGTTCTTTGGAAATCGAGTTCTACATTTTGACAAAATGTTCAAATGATGTAGGTTTTCCAAGAGTTCTGTTCAGTGGAGTCTCTAGGGTTGGTCACGTTTGAGGATCTGATGCCTCCTGTGCTAATGGTGGCCACCGCGGATGTTATAGTACGGTAAATATCCCACACGCCCTCGCCATTGACTGGAACTGCTGTTCGGATTGCCAAAAAATATTATAAAGAGGTAAGTTTTGTAAGTTTGTATGTCTATAACCTAAAACGACCACAGCGTTGTGTATTGCCTTGTAAGTGAGGTTACCGGAGGCGCAATAGTTCTCAAAAAAATCCAAAAGATCGGCAACACACTCGTAACTCCTCCGTTGTTACGAGTTGTCCATGGGCGGCGCTGATTGCTTACCATCAGGTAATCCGTTAGTGCGTTAGCCGACTATACCATAAAGAAAAGAAACTTGGTGGACCGGGTATATTAGTTATCAAGCATGAATTCCTACTTTGATTTCTTAATCGCCAAATTGTTTGATTTTTATTAGATGCTAGCTACTCTCGCGCGGTTTCACCCGCTGCTTAGCTCCATTTGTTCGTAGCGTGATGTTTTATGGCACCCAGGAACATTGTAGTTATCTATCAGTGAAAGAATTTTGCCAATCCGACCAGCGGTTCCAAAGGTTACCCCCTACATACAAACTTACAAATTTTACCTCTTTATAATATTAGTATAGATATAAATATTAACAAACAACAAATGAAGAGTCGAATGACGTGACAGTAAGCAATCAGTACAAGTGCGCTGCCAAAATTCTAAGTAAAATATGAATATTGACCATAACATTGATACAGCGGTCGCTCTAAGATCAACTCCTGCGCAGATGATCCACATAACACCTTACGATCAATGGCTGAGTCTCAGTACTACATTAGCGCGCGCACCTGTCTCACGCATCGCTCTTTAGTGTAATATAAAAATAGAATTTTTTAATAAATAATTAAATTTATAATTTTTATTTTGTATTTATAGTAAAATTTATTTTATTCGGTTGTGTGTGTATAGTGATTGAAGTTTTCACCTTTTTTTTATTTTAATTTCGGTAAGTTTTTTTTAGTTTTTTATTTTTTTTTAAACTATTTAAATTATTTTGGATTTATTTCTGTGTCTGGATATTCTAAATGTTTTTTTCTCTTGTGTGCGTATTCAATAGTATATTTATAAGTAGTAATATTTCAGACGCAATGAATTACAAAGATACTTTTTTTATTCCTAAAATAATATGGCTCAGTACCTACTAAAATAACGTTATAGGTAAATTTTATTTTATAAATTGAAGTATTTTTTTTCTAATTAATATAAATGTTATAAAAAATTCTGGACCAAAAAATTTTTATGTATGCAAACGCAACATAATATAGAAAAAAAAACATGTTAAAATGTATTTTTACAGTATTTTTTTAATTTGAATTATTTTCTAGTATCTTTGCACACTATTTTTTTTACATAAACCTTACTTAATAAAAACGCGAAAGTGTGTAAGTACGGACGGATGTTTGTTACTCTCTCACGTAAACACTACTGAACGGATCTGAATGTAATTTGGCACAGAGATAGATTATAGTCTTGAATAACATATTGGCTAGTTTTCACCCGCGTCTGTGGATGAAATCGCTGACAGTAGTAAGTAAACAATATTGAGAGTACAATATTACATTTAAAATTAAGACTAATTAAGATGCAACTAAGAAATTAAAAATACTTAGATTTTTCGAATCTGTGTGATGACATGGAAGATGTTAAGGTTAAACCACTTCTTATGCTTGAGGGTGCAGCTCCGAAACCTGGCAAGTACCAATGTGACGTTTCCCAAGTTATATGTACTTTCTATGATTATTTAGACACCACTGACATACGGTGAAGGTAAACATCGTGAGGAAACCTGGACTTATAATATCTAATTATAAGTTTGAAATCGCTAACCGGCCTTGAGCAAGCGTGGTGGTTAATGTTCAAACCTTCTCCGTGTGAGAAGAGGCCTTTGCTCAGCAGTAAGCACTTATTGGATGATAATATAATAATTAAAATCCCATTGACTATTAACGAGAATACTAATTAATAGTCCCTATACCATATTAATAAACATTGCAAATATTGCAACACAGCGGGTATCGAACTCACGACCCTGAACGCTCTGTCTAACACAACTGACGTTTCATGGTTACCATTCGACATTCACATCGCCCTTATTCTGAAAGACATAAGGTTTATTATTTTAAACTAGATACTATCGCGCGGCTTCACTCGCTGCTCGGATTAAGTGTGTACGAATGGGTCGGCTCGACCGAAGTGATACCACGGCCTCACAGAAAACCGACGTGTAACAACCACAGCGTTGTATTTCTTCCCCAATCCCAAAATCTCCAAATCCCTAATCCCCCAAAAGTCAGCAACGCAATCATAACTCCTCCGTTGTTGCGGGTGTCCATGTGCAGCGCTGATTGCTTACCATCAGGTAATCCGTCTGCTCGTTTGCCGACCTATATAAAAAATCTTGTCAGCCGTTGCGTAGGTAATGTTTTCGATAGATGGAATATCCAAAAGACAAAGACATGTTTTCTATTCAAACAAACAAATCATTACCGCTAATCTTCTGGTGGGTGTAGGATACCCAAAAGGAACAACGAGATTGTGGATTTTGATTTATACATATTGTGACAGAAAACTCTTTGACATCATGACGTCAATGGATGGTTGTCAAACGTTGCCTAGAGATTGTAAATTTCGTCGTGAATTGTCAATACGAGTTGGTGTAATTGGTAAGGCGTGTGGATTACACCACAGAGACCCCGAGTTCGAGTCCCGCCGTAAACATGAAGTTTTTTAGTTGATGGAAGTTTTGTCGAACTTTCTGGAATTATTTGTGTGAAAGAGATGAAAAATTAAAGAGTGAGAAGGAGAATAAATAAAAATGAATAGCGAAATTATTGGAAGGTTCTGGAGGCATGACGATCAAAAAGAATAACGAAATTGAATGTTCCAGAACCTGACCGGGGGTATATAAGCGGAACTGCGGCTCACCGCTGGCAGTTGAGTTCTAAGTCTAAAGCGATTCGGAAGAAAAGGAAGAAGTGAAAAAGAAGAAAAGTGAGTGAAATAGTGAAGTGAGTGAAATAGTGAAGTGCAGTCAGTTAAGTGGATTAAGTCAGCGTGAACGGCAAGTTGTGTCAGTCGGCCGGACTCTGTTGGAGAGGAACGCCGATAACTTAACTCCGTGGACGCTGTAACTTAAGTGCAATAGAAAGTCTGAAAACCGGTATTAGTGTTTCATTTCATCCAATCCCGAACTCAAGCCCGCATAGTCAGGAACGTGACGTCAGGCACGTAACATTTGGTGTCAGAAGTGGGATTGGAGAAAAATGCCGCTAGTGCCGCAGGACGTAAGAGGAGTGAGTACCCGTTCAATGTCAGAAGCGCAGAGTGTGAGGGAAGAGGGTGCTGCAGCTCAAACCAGCGATGCAGAAGCCAAGCCTGTGCAGGTGGATCTTCTGCTACAGCTGCAGCAAATGATGGCAGAGCAAGCGCGCCGCCAAGAAGAGCAAGCGCGCCGCCAAGAAGAGCAAGCGCGCTGTCAGGCAGAACAGCTGCGGGAGCTGAAAGAAGAGCAAGCGCGCCGCCAAGAAGAGCAAGCGCGCCGCCAAGAGGAGCAAGCACGCTGTCAGGCAGAACAGCTACGGGAGCAAGCACACTGTCAGGCAGAGCAGCTACGAGAGCTGAAAGAGATGCATAAGGATTTCACGAAGGGACTGCAAAAGGCTGTCGAACGGGTACAGGAAGTGGAGGAAGGGTTAGGCAAGTTGGAACATCGCGTCATGGCCATAGAGGAGAGAGTGGAAGAAGAGATCTCCAAAATCAAGCAGGAAATGACAAGCCCAAGCCCTTTGAAGAGCCGAAGCCGTCTTGCAGCCGTTTTTGACGCCCCAAATGCGGCCTCAAGCGCAACGAAAGGGCTCAAGATTCCCCATTACGACGGAACAACATCCTGGACCGCGTTCAAGCTACAGTTCGAGACACTTATGGAGGCTTATGGTTGGACTCAGAAGGAAGCACAGTCAGCCCTCACCCTGGCCCTCCGTGATCAAGCGCTCTCAGTGCTGGAAGCTATCGGCGCAAGTGGGGATCTCAGCTTTAGTGCCCTCCTCGACGCACTGGAGGCACGTTTTGGAGACAGCCACCTCGAGCACGTGTACAGAGCGCAATTAAAAGAGCGTAAATGGTCCGTGGAAATCGAGAAACTTGTGCGTCGAGCTTTCCGGTCGACTCCGTCAATGATTGAAGGCACGCTTCTCCAAGCGTTCATTGACGGTATTCGGGACCCCGAAGTACGAGCCGCTGTTCATCTGGGCCATCACAAGAACATGAAAGAAGCTCTGGCCCATGCATTGGAAGTGGAAGCCGTGCGTGGTAACTCCCGTACCTTACGTCTGCGGGAAATGACGACAACGGAGCAGGTACCTCCACGCCGTCGGAACTTCATGTGCTATGGATGTGGAGAGCGTGGGCACATACGGAGCGACTGCCCGAAGAAGATGAACCGCCAGGACGCGGCGGTCTCAACTTCTGACCAGCAGGGAAACTTAAATCCAGCCAGGGCTGCGGGGTGGGCGCTGGCTGGTAGTGGAACAACCCCAACAATCTACATCAAGCAAACCAACGATGGAAATACTCTGGTGATAGACGGTCAAGTAAATGGGAAAAACAGTCAGCTAACATTAGATACTGGAGCTTCAAGGACGGTGATAAATGTTCGGCTGCTCGAGCAAAACATCAGGAAACACCTTAAACCAATTGTTGGCCTACAAATGAAATCAGCTACCGGCCAGCGCATACCGATAAGTGGAAAATTGCATGTAACAATTAAAATTGGGGAACGTGTTTATCGACATGAGGTTATTGTGGCCAAAATTCTGGATGACTGCATCCTAGGACTTGATTTCCTGCGAGGGCACCAGTGTAACATCGACTTAAAATCTGGAGTATTACTATGTGGAACTGAGGAAATTCCGATGAAGGGTGGAACCCTGGGAAAAGTTTGCTGTTTAAGAAGAACTGTTCTTGCACCAAAATCACAGACTCTCGTACCAATTGCATTACCTAGGAGGAGGGAAGGAAGTTTACCTCGAAGGTGCGCTGTGATTGATAAATCGGAACACGTAAACTCATGGCTACCGGCAAGAACTGTCGTGGGGTCATCTGATGTCAACCGCATTCCGGTATTCAACTTCAGTGATTCAAAAATTACGATTGAAGAAGGAGAGCCTGTGGGCGTATTGGAAGAAGTGGCCTGGATAAGAAAATGCTCGGAAAATCTTGTGAAGAAGGACAGTACGGGAATAGACTTTGTAACGAAAATCTTAGACGAAAACAAAAGTCTGACAAAAGTGGAGACTATGAAGGCTAGAAATTTACTTCTTCGATTCTCTGATGTGTTTTCAAGAAGCGATGGTGATATTGGCCGAACTGGTTTGGTGAAGCATAAAATAAACACAGGTGATACAATGCCAATTCGTCAAAGGCCCAGACGCATACCATTCGCTCGTGAGAAAGAGGTTGAAGAAATGATTGACGATATGAGGAAAAATGACGTGATAGAGCCCTCTTCTAGCCCTTGGTGTTCACCTGTCGTGCTTGTCAAGAAGAAAGATGGTTCAACGAGGTTTTGCGTAGACTATCGACGATTGAATGATGTAACCAAGAAGGATAGCTACCCGTTACCAAGAATCGATGACACACTTGACACACTGAGTGGCATGAAATGGTTTTCAACGCTCGATCTAAAAAGCGGCTATTGGCAGGTGGATTTGGATCCCAAGGACAAGGAAAAGACCGCATTCTCAACTGGGAAGGGACTCTGGCAATTTAAGGTGATGCCATTTGGATTATGCAATGCACCGGCAACCTTTGAGCGTTTGATGGAACAGGTGCTGGCGGGACTGCTGGGCGAAACCTGCCTAGTTTACCTCGATGACATCATCATTGTTGGACGGGATTTTGACGATCATCTAAGGAAATTAGAAAAGGTACTCGACAAGCTGCGTGGAG